CCACCTATTGAGCCACTTGGTCTACCAATTTGAGTGCCGGAATTGTGATAGCCGGTACGTTGGTAGGACCCTTCAACACCTGAGCGCACGTATCAAGCAGCATGTACCACTTCACATGCTGCCGGACGCAGCAAAAGCGAAGCGCCCGAAGCGGGGAAGACCACGCAAGAACCCGCTCCCTCTACCACCGACACAACCAGAGCAAGTCGAACACACGGTGCAGAGGAAGAGTGGTGGATCACTAAGCCAACCGAATGTGCCTTCTCCACCGTTGCCCTTGCCGCCACCGGAGCCACCACCAGTGCCGTTGGTGGCTGGGGTTGGGGAGGAGTCGGCAACAACGACAGTACCGCCAATCACAGAAATTGATCCCATTTCTTTGACACAGTATCCGGCTGTGCGGACACCGCAGCACCCTCCGGCGCTTGATCCGTGGGTCCAGAGACCACGGAGGTCGACCGCCAATTATTCAACCGAAATATATGCTAGGAATGGCCAAGGCCCACGCGGAGCATCGAAGGAGACCGGAAGCCGGGGGCAAAACGGAACACAATCTCGGGACGTAGATGAGGTAAGGACAGTGGCACGGGACAGACGTAGGAAGGAGAACATGGATGGTATCAGACGACTGACTGGTGGTGAATATGAGTTGGGTGATGATGCGGCGGATGACGAGGATACAGATGACGACGAGGCGGATGACGGCGAGGATACAGATGACGACGAGGCGGGTGATGACGAGGCGGCGGATGACGACGAAGCGGATGACGACGAGGCGGCTGGTGGTGATGGTGATAAAACGGACGAGGAGGAGTCAGGTGGCAGGGAAGGTGATGGAGCTGATGAGGGTGAAATTCGTAAGAAGTCAGCTGTGTACTTGCATTTGTTATCTCGTCCCGATTGTTTGGGTGTTTATGATGATTCCCACTTCTCTGTACTGTGTCGTGCCCGTTATGTCCAGCAGTTGAAGGTCCTTGAAGCTGTTTGTATTCGTACGCATAAGCCCGATTTGTGTAAGCAAAAAGAACATGTTTTAGCACTTAGGTTATTTTCGTGAGTTGGCACCCCGTGTTCATGAGTTGTTTCTGCACTGTTCATGCCCGTTTGTCACACTTACTCTTTATTTTAGTTCTCACTTTTTGTAATACTTACCACAAGTTACCCGTCATGTGTCACACTTCTTTGGATTTTTAACCTTTGTTTTTCCCTTGATCTCTTTAGTTCCGTATTTCCACTGATGATCGGAGCGTGAAAATCGATTTTGGAAACACACAAAACCAAACCTTCAACAAATTGTCATGTTGCGTGGTGATGTCTGCGGCATTCATACTTTTCATAGCTATTAAAAAAGAAAAAAATGTGAAAAGACCAAAAATAGGGATTCACTGGCCAGAAAAGTCACTTCAAATAGCTGTATGGTGTAGACCAGGCTGAATAGTGACGGTCAATTCTTCAGCCTTGCAAGCTGTTGCATGGTGCAATCCCAGCACAAGTTGCTATGGCTTCTGCCGTAGCATTGCTATCATCGCCTCCGGCGATGGGCGTCAAAAGGTCAAAGGTGTGTTTATGTGTGTGTATGTGTGCCATCTAGCTCGGTTGGTGGGTGCACTGACACCAGACAGTGCCAGTGGTTTGGGTCTGTTGCCAGCAGGCTCAGCAGCTTGAAGGTGTATTTGTACCAGGAAAATAACACTTAGTTGTGTCGGTTTCAGGGTCCATATACATGACGTGTACTGCATATTCGAAGTACATGTACATGCCTGTTGACAATGAGCTACTTCTTCTCGCAAGACTAACTCTTGCGAATCAATGACAATGGTGCTAATGAAGCCTATACATGTACATGTTATTACAAATATTATGTCACATCCACTCTGATTTAGTCACACATAGCCATTGGCGGACTATGCTCGGCCAATCGTCAAATTATGCTTTTGATTATGCCACAATTATGCCAACAAATCTGCTGAATTATGCTGAATTATCCTCGGTTCCACTATGTATTCACGTTGTACATAGAGGATTGAGAAACCACGCATACACACACGGCCATGCCCTAAGCATAATTTGTGTCTAAACCGAAAGATTATGCCGACCTTACACGTTGGAATCCGTGTATTATGCCAGAGCATAATTTTTTTGACGAAATCCCAAGATTATGCCAAATATTATGCCAGCATAATCCGCCAAGGGCTATGAAGAGGAGTCGTAACTGGGGTATTTAAAAAAAAAACATCTGCAGACTTTCTGACAAAGCTGTATTATGCCCCTAAGCATAATTTTTGTCTAAACCGAAAGATTATGCCGACCTTACACGTTGGAATCCGTACATTATGCCGGAGCATAATTTTTTGACGAAATCCCAAGATTATGCCAAATATTATGCCAGCATAATCCGCCAAGGGCTAGTCACACACACACACACACACACACACACACACACACACACACACACACACACACACACACACACACACACACACACACACACACACACACACACACACACACACACACACACACACACACACACACACACACACACACACACACACACACACACACACACACACACACACACACACACACACACACACACACACACACACACACACACACACACACACACACACACACACACACACACACACACACACACACACACACACACACACACACACACACACACACACACACACACACACACACACACACACACACACACACACACACACACACACACACACACACACACACACACACACACACACACACACACACACACACACACACACACACACACACACACACACACACACACACACACACACACACACACACACACACACACACACACACACACACACACACACACACACACACACACACACACACACACACACACACACACACACACACACACACACACACACACACACACACACACACACACACACACACACACACACACACACACACACACACACTCACACACACACACACACACACACACACACACACCTCAGACCTGCCCATCGCGGAAGCGATGATAGCGAACAGCTATGTTAGACATAGCAACTTGTGCTGGGATTACACCATTCAACAGCTTGCAAGGCTGATGAATTGACCGCCACTATTTTTAGCCTGGTATCCACCACACAGCTGATTGAAGTGACTTTTTCTGGCCAGTGAATCCCTATTTTTCATTTTTCCATTTTTTTCTTTTTTCTATTTTTCTTTCACACACACACACACACACACACACACACACACACACACACACACACACACACACACACACACACACACACACCTCAGACCTCAGACCTCAGACATGCCCATCGCGGAAGCGATGATAGCGAACAGCTATGTTAGACATAGCAACTTGTGCTGGGATTACACCATTCAACAGCTTGCAAGGCACACACACGCACACACACACACACACACACACACACACACACACACACACACACACACACACACACACACACACACACACCTGGTCCTGGTATACACTGCCATGTAGGTCACGTGTTTCTCGTTGAGCGAGACGGAGACGAGAGGAGACATGAGCGTTGGTGACGGGATAAGTCGTTTCGCCTTTTGAAACGCCTCTGGCAATTCTGACATTGCAATTGGAACTTGTCCCTTTCATCAGCAGTTGGGCGCCTGGTGGATCGGTTGCAGTTGTGGATAGCAAAGCCCCGGATCGACTTACAGCAGCGTTCACAAATGGGACAGTGAGCGGTACACACACACACACACACACACACTGTGAAAATCATCACCTTTACTTGGGCCGCCTAGGAATGTACATGTAGTTGAATCCCAGGACGGATACCTTGATGCCGTCCATCATTTTTCTTCACCTTGTCCTCACGGCGAATATTATTACATGTATTATTATTATTGTCCTCACTGACTTTAATGAGGTGTGGCAAGCCCATACTACTAGTACAATGCATTAAAGTGGGATGATTTCCAAGTGCAGCACCAAGGAGGCCTGTATTAATTAAAAGTGTAAGCATTTCCTATTTTGTCGACATGCATGAGCACGATCATGTACATGTACATATGCCGTGGTACATGGTATGCAGTCTGCAGCTACATTGTGTACATGCACATCACTGTCATGCAGCTCTGTACAGTGTACTACTACTACTAGCTGCAGTCGACATTGGAATGACGGCGGGGCTGGCACAATGTCCGTGAGATCGGCCATCAATGGCAGATGGGTACAGTTCAGTTGACGCTGTTGAGTGTTGTCTTTTCCTGACTCTTACCTTTCACCATGGCTGACACTGTGACAGGTGCCCAGGCGCATGACTGACCAGTCGACACTGTCCGTGCTCCAGATCGTGACCTTTCCAGATTGTGGCGCACGTCTAATGAACATCCAAGTGCCATTACTGGCACTAGCAACACGATTCGCACAGTGAAGACACACGTACAGCGTATTGTTCGGTATCCTAGAAACTAGGAGAAAATCAGGTGATCCTCCCCCAATGGTGGTACTAGTGGTGTGTCGGTGTCTGCCTGCACCTGTTTCGCCCAAACTTCTCAGTACACTTACAATCATTCTTTGCAATGGAATATACAGCGACGTAGTCAACACCGTGATCGCTCGTTTGTTTTGCACTGGGGAGCAAACGAGATCTCACGCGATTCCTGCGCATCTGCTGATGCCAGCATAGAAGATGTTGTGACTAGTGTTTATTATGACCTTATCAGATGCAGATGCTTCGATCGACACACCGGCCCATATCAGGAACTTAACCTTACTTACATCTCAGCGAGGTCATCGCAGATAAAAGCCTGGTTTACATCATTGCCTAGTACATGTACGATTAGCAACCGTTGACATTCGTCATCAGCATGTTTTGACCTAGTCCGTAATTGCCCGTTTTTGTTGTGTCGAAGTCACGTCTTCTCGACAATGCTACCTCCACGTGACGACGGCGGAAGGCTACAAAAGCGACGACTTCCCAGCGAAGAACTTCATTACCTGGCACAGCTCAGAGTAGCAACGAACTTGAAAACCTGCAGTTTTCCTAGCACCTTGTCGATCATGATTCGTGCGGTGATTTTCGCCTGCCTCCTGGCCTTCGCCAGCGCACAGGAACTGGACATTCCGAAACTGGCCGTGAAGCTCGGTGCTACGGACCTTGTTGAATTTGTCGTCAAGGCTAACCTAACATCTGCCCTGTCCGGTCCAGGCCCTTTCACCGTGTTTGGGCCAACAAACGAGGCGTTCTCACGTCTACCACCGCCGATCGTTGAACTGCTGACGCACAACGTAACGTTGCTGCGTGATGTGCTAATGTACCACGTTGTCTCCGGTCGCGTCTACTCATCACAGCTGTCCAACGACTTGCTGGCCCAGTCTCTGCTCCCGGAGGAGAAGATCAGAATCAATATCTACAAGAACACGAAGACGGTAAGGCGAGCGAGAAACCTGATACCTGATCATTAGTGGGATGACCGCATTGTGGAAACGGTCCCTCTTCACACTGTTTGGCAACACCCCCCCCCCCCCCTCACCTCCCCTCGTCTGACTTCCTTCATTCACCCTATGACACAGGCGCCAAGCTTGGATCATAGTCGTTGCCTGCAATCAGACTCGAAGTGTGAAATCGACTGTAAACGCCCCCCCCCCCCCCTTGTACACGCACTATGCGAAGAAGGTAGTGTGACTGCATAATGATAGGCAAAAGAAGTTAGTACGACATGAACTGCTCACATGCACCTTGGGGATGACTGTGATGAACTTCTTGAAGCATCAACTTTGCTTATAACGACACTCGGCAGGGCATCAGAAAAGTGTCCTTATTCGCGAAGTGTCCTTATACCCGAAGTCTCATTATACGTATTACAGTTGAATGGGACTTTGCTCTGGGCATGGAAATTCTGTCGTTATTTGCGAATTGTCGTTATATCCGCAGTCGTTATTAGCGAAGTTGACTGTATGTGTGTGTGCGTGTGGGATGTCTGCAAAAATGTACTGTAACATTACAGCATTGGGTACTACAAAGTCTACAATGTATTATGAGTAATATGTTGTACAGGTATTCATGATGCTAGCAAGAGTATAATAATAATAATAATAATAATAATAATAAGGGGTTATGTACTCTTGATACTAGTGTAGTACTAGATGCTTGTCTCTATCCGTGACCTGTTTGATATGCGGTTCCATTGTGTAGGTGGTTACCGCCGAGGGATCTCCGGTCGTCCTCACGGATCAGAACGCTACCAACGGCGTCATCCACGTCATCGACCGCGTCATGCTGCCTCCGCTTGGCGACATCCCCACCATCGTCACACGTGACCACCGATTCAGTACCCTGCTGAAGGCTGTATCCGTTGCTGGTCTGGTGCCCACACTGTCCGGTGCAGGACCATTCACCGTCTTTGCCCCCACCGACGAGGCATTCGCCAAGATCCCACCAAAGACCCTGGAAGGTCTTCTGGCTGACAAGGCCAAGCTCACTAAGGTAAGATACTTTTTTTCTCAGTAGTGGGCATGCATCCGTCAATCTTTAGCAAGACAACACTTGAATGGCATGCAGTGGAGTTCGAGACATGCATATGTACATGCAGGTGATCAGCATGATGAGCTGATAACAAAGCACAGCCGCACATGTACTCATACAACAATTACAGTAGGCAGTGGCTGTCATCCTAAGTTCATGAGAGGATAATAAGAATTCATGGGCGCAGGATCAGCTCAATATGGAATTAGTTCACTGACCATGCCTCTGCTGTGATCTGTAATCTTTGTATCTGCACCGCAATACAGGTCTTGACATACCACGTGATCTCTGCCGCTGTCTGGGCCGCCGGACTCTACGATGGAGAGGAGGCGAAGACAGTGGAGGGCAGTTCACTCAAGTTCCACATTGAGGAACACGAGGTGGCCATTAGCTTTGGTACGGAAGGACATTCGCGTGTCATTGAGCCCAACGTCGCCGCTACCAATGGTGTCATCCATGCCATTGACACTGTGCTTCTCCCACCTGATCTGTTCTAAGCCAGACTTGGTTTATTATTATGCCGACTCCACGTTATACGATCCGCACTACTAGTGTCTCTCAATCATATTTTTTAAGAAATTTCCTATTTACCCTTGCCAACATTGAACAACAACCAAATAATTCAACAGTCTGATACCCTGTTAGGCTACGAACTCTGCCGCACACTTCAGCAGGTGGTGATTATTGATTGGTTTGGTTCAGCTCTGGCTTGATTTCATTGCTATTTCTAGTACAGGAAATATAAAACAAAAATACAATGTAGTGATACTAGTACAGCAGACGGCTGTTAGCTTAGTAAGCCTCTTATACGGGCAATCACAGAACATGATTTCACTGGCCTGACGCAACAACTACAAAGCAAAACAAAACGAAAAATTTAAATAAAAAGAAAATGAAACTTTACAATCTGCACACAATGACAACTCCATTTTTAAGATAGTCTCTGTTGATCAGGCTGTTGACGGCTGTTAGCTGCACTTGGATCGCGGCAACTTAGTTTTCTGCACGTGAACCATGCACAATCAATTCCACGATGGCGTGACGCCAATAAGGACGATTGCTAAGTGTGATAGAACTGGTACTAGCCAGAAACAGCTAGATGGAAATTAACCGGGGAAGCAAGATGCAATGGATCATGAAAAACAAGCGGGGGAAATAACGTTACCAGGGGTGATCGAGATAGTTAAATGTGCGAGATTACGGTATGTTATTAAATTCATGAGTACAAAAGCAAAAGTGTGCAACTTGTAACTTGATCTGCAATGGACTCACACAACAAAGTTATATTGGTATGGATCACTTCGGTGAAAATAATTAAAATACATACTTTGAAGTATGTTGTGCGTGTAAGTTAGGCCTTCCACCCCTGCCATGCACAACACAGTATTTGTTCACCGGGTAATGGGTGCATGGGTTTACAAAAGTCAGTTGCTCTGCCTCGACTTCCATTTTATCTAGTTACAGTTGTAGGCAGTTGTTCATAACTCGTATCATGTGTCCTTCTGCATTAACATTTTTAGGGTAATTATTGGCGAGAATGCTATCTACAGAACAGTACTGCTGCACTGTTCTTACCAGTACAGTGTATTGGCGAGAATGTCGCGCATGTGTGGATCATAGGTGAAAGGCAGCAGTTCAGTGAAACTGACAGTGAGTGGTTCGAAATGGTGGTGGCACTGGTGTTCATGGCTGTAGCTGTAGGTGGTGACCACATTCATCATACCAGTATTCAGGTTGTGTGCATGTGCTGAACTACAGTACAGAGTCAGTGCTGCAGGGGTGAATCCAGGGGCCCGGTTGGAAACCATTATGCATGTACATGTACAGTCATATACATCATTGTATCAGGCTACAATCAGCTACCGTAAAACTGGGATGTGAACTGGCGCTGTGCACAGTGTGCAGCCCTAGACCTGCGCTGTGCACAGTGTGCAGCCCTAGACCTGCGCTGTGCACAGTGTGTAGCCCTAGACCTGCGCTGTGCACAGTGTGCAGCCCTAGACCTGCGCTGTGCACAGTGTGCAGCCCTAGACCTGCGCTGTGCACAGTGTGTAGCCCTAGACCTGCGCTGTGCACAGTGTGCAGCCCTAGACCTGCGCTGTGCACAGTGTGTAGCCCTAGACCTGCGAACACTGGGATGTGAACTGGTGCAGGATGGTGTAAACTTGACTCTTGAGATCAGGTTGCAGATGGAAAAAAAAGTCTGAGGAAAAAATTGACTGTCACCACCAGGACTTGAGCCAGTGACCCTCGCTTATGACCAGCGATGCTTTACCACTAATCTATGGCGTAATTAACTAGTGACTACTACTTCTTCTTCTTTTTGTAACCCATCACAGACCGATTCACCGCAGTGAAGGCATTGAGAGCCAGGCCAAGAGGATTGCCGTAAGGGACAAGATTTAGTGATACAACGGACCAAGATTTCCACGAACGATTATTTGTTGGAATACCAATTCAACGAATGAATGGCTGATCTACTACTGAATGATCTACTATTCTTCACACAATCTATCAGCAGGGGCAACGTCGGAAGGTAATTTAGTGTGGTACGGTCAGCCATCTGAAGTACAATTTACTCGTGGGGGGGGGGGGGGAGTGGCTGAGCAGAAAAATTTGGAAAATTAGAACCCAATTCAGTGCATTTTATTGATTCACAGGGTACTTGGGTCAAATAGTGGTACGGTCAATACCGTATACGCGTAGTGACCGTACCGTGTGCGACGCCCCTGATCAGTGATGCACTTCGAAGCATCAGTTTGTGCTGCACACGGCCAGCAGTGTCTTTACTCTCCGAAATACCATAGGTCTCCTCAGACGCAGCTCAGTTCATATCAAGTTGGATTAGCCCAATAGCAGGGCTACATTGTACCCATGACTTTCGCCTGATCTCAGAATATGCAATGACACCCATGCCCGGGATCTAGGACAACGCTAGCACGCACACACCATACAGGCCGGACTTGCATGTCAGTAAATCCAAAGCCTTTCGGATATTGCAACTACTTCGAAGTACAAAATCACCAAATGCCATGGTGGCCGCCATTGTGAATTCACGGCCTAGATCCGCAGCTTACTAACAGCCACTTGTACATCATGATATTCCATGGTTCCACTCGAATAGATCACTCGTGCGCGTGCAGGATCTAGGACTGTGGGATCAATAAAAAATTTAAAAAAAAATTTTATTATAACGCATTTCGTTTGAAAATTTAATTTGAATTTGAACTACTCAAGTAGTTACAATTGACTGAGAATAGTATTGGAAAGGCTACAAGTGAGGCCAGTACCGTCAGGTTCCACGTTGATAGTCTTCACCACGCCGTCCTCGATGACCATTGAGTACCTCTTCGATCTGATGCCCCCCAGGAATGGAGTTGCGTCGAAGTCCATTTCCATGGCTTTGGTCAGTTCGCCTGTGGTGTCGGCCAGCATTCGGACTTTGCCAGCAGCACCATGAGCTTCGCCCCACGCGGCCATGACGAAAGCATCGTTGACTGACACACAGGCGATGACTTCTACACCCTTGGCGTTGTACTTCTCGATATCAGTCACATACCCTGGCAGGTGAGTTTTGCTACATCCTGGGGTGAAAGCTCCGGGTACTGCAAAAAGGACTCCCTTTTTGCCTTTGAACAAATCAGCAATGTTAACTGTGCCCTTTGGAGAGCCCTCATGAAGGGAGACCGAGGGAAGCTTGTCACCGACTTGGATTGGCATTCTGGAAGCAGTTGAAACACTGAAACGGCGAGCCTGAATGAAGCCAAACCTTGCCAACATTGTATTCAATTATTTTGTCTGTGTGTGTCAAGATTTTGAAAACACTTTTAAGTTTTAGTTCTGTAGATCTGTTGTCGCTGCTGACATAGCTCGCTAGCCGGACCACTGGCACTGCTGTTCTTGTGCAACAATGCCAATGCAATGGAGTGTGCGCACTGGTACGAGCACTACCCCAGCGCACTAGCGCACTGTACTACTAGTACTACTACATGTGCTAGTATTGCACTGTCACCACTGGTCATCACTGACATCAGTGCAGTGCACCTAGTGACTGGTGACCTACCCTGCTGGCCTGGTAGATCTACACAGTAGATCTACGAGTCTCGTAGACCAGCATCCACTCTCTGGCAGCTACCAGTAATGTGTTGTTGTGCAGTCACAGACAGCTGTGTGTCTCACCCAGTGCACTAGTGGCACACTGGCAGTCACCAAACTACCTGTAAAAGCCATAACCTGATAACGAAGTGCTAACTCTATAAACGAGTTAATAGAAATCGTTATAGAAATCGTTATACAGAAATCGATACATATACTGTCCTATTGAGGGTTGAAAATGAGTGAGAATCGTTACCTTTCGTACACGTAAACTAGTCAATTTTGGGAAATCGTTATAATATGCGCCTCATTAGAATAATGGCTTACAGTAATGACAGACTTGGTCCGGCCAAAGGACCATTAATGCAAAGCCTCCCTCACTGGCCTCAGCGAGACTCAGGGCAAGGGACAAGGCCCTTGGCCAGCATGGTCCAGCTCACAGGAGCAAAACTCAGCCAAGGGTAATGACCTTCAAGGGCATCGGAACCGCACCGGCCGGGGCGGCCATGGCCGCCCCACTTTTTCGGCCGTTTTTTTACACTGCAACAAAGCGCGATGATCTCAGCGCAAACGTGGCAAATCCTTGTCCCCGATCGTGGTTTGTTGCAGAATCAAAAGTCCATGTACACTGAAATGGCACCAAATGCCTGGGAATGCTTGCAATTGGCTTCAATTTTTGAATTTTTTCCCGGGGCAGGGTAATGTTTGTCCCCGATCATAGCATCTTCTTGGTTTTTTCCAGAATCAAAAAGTCTTTCATTGTAGTTACCGTGCACTGAAATGGCACCAAATGCCCGGAAATGCTTGCAATTGGCTTCAATTTTTTGAATTTTTTCCCGGGGGAGGACCCCGGACCCCCTTCCATGGCCGCCCCACCTTCAAAGTCGGTGCGACGCGCCTGAGTCCTTCAAGTTGATGCATGGGGCATTGAGAGACCCCAGGGTGGCACTGGCCCACACACACACACACACACACTAGAACTTAGAAGTGACCACAACTCACAAGGCTTGGAGAGGGGGGGGGGGGGGGATTTACATGTATGGCTAACACAGAACCAATACCGTAAAAGTCCGTAAATAAGATTAGTACGTACATGTATTTACGTCCGAATTTAGTGGCCACACCGTGACCCGTACTAACTTTCGGGCGGGTTCTAACTTTCGGGCGGGTACTGACTTTCGGACCTGACTTGTGTGTAGTGGAGAAGTCATTTTCATGTCGATGTACATGCTACGTGCTGCATGTGCGCACCGTACCGGTACTTATTTCGGGCAGTATGTTTATCGGGCTTGACTTGACTTCAACAACAGACAGAGCCAAAAGATTGGAGGGGGTATTTCTTTCGGGCAGGTACTTATCAAGTTTACGGACTTTTACGGTAAAGAACCTGTAACAAAAACCTCTGCTTCGCATTGCCTATTACAATGTACTTGGTTTTCAGGCCAGAGCAGGTAGCCCTACACATATGGTTTCAGTCTGCACCAGTGTCACCTCCCGGTATGTGTAGGGCTCTCTGGGCCAGAGCCTGTCGAGAAGTGTGTGTGTGGGGGGGGGGGGGGGGGGGGGAGAGAGAGAAATACAGCAAAAGTCAAGTGATATCTTTGCATACAATGTAGAAATCATACTTCGATGTTTGATGTGCAACGATAGAGCTCGCATTGGAACTCTTGTAAATCTCAGTGAAATAGATGCAAGAGCTGGGGGAAGGTTCAGGGTGCCAATCCTGTATAAAAAAACCCGCATGAGATCCAGATTTCATAAATCCTGTGTCTCAACCTTTATTCTATGCCTATAGCGTACATGTACTTGATCTGTGAAGCCTAGCGCCTGTGCGACCCATACACTGGGC